TCTCCCAGACTGGAGTGTATTGGCACAATCACAGATCACTGTAGGCTTGAACTCCTGGGCTCAAGTGATCTTCTTGCCTCAGCCACCTGAGTAGCTAGGACTACAGGAGCACACTATGACGCCTGGCTAATTTTAAATATTTTTTGTTTTTTTTGCAGAGACAGGGTCTCTCTATGTTGCCCAGGCTGGTCTCAAATTCCTGGCCTCAAACAATCCTCCTGTCTCAGCCTCCCAAACTTCTGGGATTATAGACATGAGCCACTACACCAGACCTCTATTTTTTTTAATTTTATTTTTTTAAAAAAAGAGGTACTGTAATTTGTAAGATACCTGTTGGTTTTATAAATTTGGTTTGTACAATAATTTATTAACTTCCAGTGGGCATAGCTACATTAATACTTTTACACATGACACATGACAATTAAAATTTCGGACTAGCATGGTTTTAATATTAATATAAATTATGATTATTTTCACAGGTACGTTTTTGTAGACCTTTGTCTAAGTTTGGTATTTGTTTATATATTTTCTAATTTGTCTATTAGTCACATGGAATTTATATTCAATAGTATTATATATGATACAACTCTTTAGAGTTAACATCCTTTCTAAGATATAAGAAAACATGTAAACATGATATAATTTGCATTTAAGAACATATATGTATATGTCCATATGTTACTATCATTGTATAAGAATTAAATAAGAACTTTTTTCCCCTCCCATGGAAAGAGAAGAATATCAAATACTAGTGATGCTAATGACTAATTATAAATTGGTAAAATAGGAACATTTAGGTGTTCCTTTTCAGCCATATAGCTTAGTTATTCTTCCTTTTACTTTGGCCAATGGGAAGAGTACATAGAGTATATTCTATTGATCAAACACTGTGTGTGTGTGTGTGTGTGTGTGTGTGTGTGTGTGTGTGTCTATATGTGTGTAAGTGGTGGAAGAATTATTTCATCTTGACTAGTCTCATCTGGTTTTCACCTAAATGTTTTAAAGTAATATTGGCCATAAAAACATGTGAATTAAAATACATAGGAAGGAACTATGTATGTCATGATGTTAACTACATAGTTATGAATGTTGAATTTGAGAAACTATATAGTTAAAAAAGTAAATGTAGGACATTTGATATTGGATTATACCAGTAATATCTGTGTATTAATACAAAGGGTAAAGAGTTGACATTGCTATGACTATTGGAAGTATGTGAAATAAGAAAGGAACTTCTTTTTTGAGATTCTTCCCGTGGGACTCACCAGACTGTTTGCAAAATGCTTGCATTTAACACAAAATGCTTTGTGCACCCCTTCAGGAAAAAGCCAAATATAAGATGAGATTTTATAGCTGAGAAAAAAGTAAATAAATAACTGGGATTTGAAATGTTGGCTAAGATTTCCTGTTCTTTGCTTACACTGTTTGCAATAAGATGAACTGTTTCTTCTGTGTACTTCCTTGCTGTTTGCAGAAAGATGAACTGCTTCTTTTGTGCACTTCCTTTCAGTATATCTTAATTCAGCACAGAATTGACTAATTTGCTATCATTTCTGCAGGTTTTTGCCATTTGTTAAGCTTGGTTTAATGTTTAAGACACTATTAAGTGTTCTGTCAGGTAATAGTAAAATGCTTTTATCAAAAATACATTACCAATACTCAGCAGAAGTCAATAACATCACCAGCTATAAAACAAGGCTGATTAGAAACTCTTCTTTTAAAAGACCCATTTAGAATCCACGACAAGCTGAAACATCTTTATATAAACACACGTCATTCCTTTGTGAATAGACATTTATATTATCTGATTTTAAATTAATTGGTTATTTCAGCTTCAATTGAAGGCAATTTATATTGTACATCCTAAAAAACTGCTAAAGAATTTATATGTCTAAATCTGATAGTATTAAACTCCCATGTAATGATTAATCTAGATTGGTATAAGAATTATCACAATTTATAATGATTCTTTATGAAAGCGGCTTAAATTAGTAACATAAGTCTAAAATTTATTTTCTAAATTTTTTTTGCAAAAGCTTAGTTTCTAAAGTAGAATTCCATCTGGTTTAGAAATCACAGGATAAGTCAAAAAGTAAAGTCTGTAATATATATTTTATCATATTAATAAAAGAGTAATATTCTGGCTAATATATATCTAGTAACATAATTAGGAAGCATTTAATTTATATGTCAATTAAAACTATTTGGCTGGGCACCGTGGCTCAGTCCTGTAATCGCAACACTTTTGGAGGCCGAGGTGGCAGGATTGCTTGAGGCCAGGAGTTTGAGACCAAACTGGGCAATATAGCGAGAGCTCATCACTACAAATATTTAAAAAAAAAAAAAATTAGTTGGTTGTGGTGAAGTGCGCCTGTAATCCCAGCTACTTGGGAGGGTGAGGCCTGAGGATCTTGAGCCTAGGAGTTCAAGGTCGTAGTGAGCTGTGATCACACCACTGTACCCCAGCCTGGGAGACATAATGAGACTCTCAAAAAAAGAGAAAAAAATTTTTTACCCTTTTCTCTCACGCTCTCAGCCATGGGCAGGTATTCAAATTACAAAGAAAATGGAAAGCAAGGGTTCTAGGAGGGGAAGCTGGTCAAAATATTAGTAGAATTTATGCCAATAGAAAAGAACACTGATAAGACAAAGCCAGGTTCACATAATAAACCTCTTAGACATTCTGCCTTCTCTGGCAAAAGTTGATGATCATTTTCCCATGGTGAGTCCATTTCAGGGTAGAGAGGTTAAGAGTAACCTACTACATTTGTCAGAAACTGACACAATTTCAACCTTCTTTATCATGCATTGACTGTAATAATATATGTTTAACATCCTGATCTTTCACTAGAAGCTTTGAGACTTTAGTCACACATGTATAAAATCAACAAAACTGGAATATGTCTGTTTCTATATATAGGTGTGTGCATGTGTCAGCTATATATATTTTTATATATATGTATGCATAGTCTGTTTTATCTCTTTATGTATGTTTGTATAATACCCATATTGTATTTATATATGTAAAAAGATTTTTTTCATATGCACACAATTTTATATTTATAATCACACAGTAAAATAAATAGTGAAGAAACATATTAGGTATATGAATATGTATGTGCATAGGTATATATAGTCTTTTTTTATCATTATATTTACTCTGGACTGTATGTCTTTTGTTAGGAGGGATTTCATTCTTTTCAACTTAAAAAACAAAAGTCCTTTGGCCCGAATGTTTATAATTAAAAATTAAACAATTTAAAAATGTGTATCTGCTTAGAACTATAAGAATCAGAATAATACAGATGAACTATGCATGACCAGATGGGATAGAGTCCCTCCGATTTGCAATAAAGTCAGAATCCCCATAAGAAACTTCTGTTCTTCATAGGTACAATCCTGGAAGGCAGTCTCCTGTAGTGATTTAGAGCAAGGACATTGGAGTCAAGGAGCCCAGGTCTCTGGCTCTAGTTGTGAGACCTTAGGCATATTTCTTGCACTAAATCTTAATTTTAATAACTGTATGTATATCTAGGAGTATACATGTCACATAATTATTTTAAGGATTAAATGAGATACTGTATTATGAAAAAATTAATGGAAAATGTTAAGCACTGTTTGAATTATAGCATTTATTTACTTATTTTGTTGTATATATTTAAGGCATAAACTCTGATGCTTTTATATATATACATAGTGAAATGATCACTATAGTGAAGAAAATCTATGTATTCATAACTTTTCATAGTTACTTTTGTATATGTGTCAGAAAACGTAAAATCCACTCTCAACATTTTTTCAGCCTGATAAACAATAGTTAGACATTAGATCTCTAGGCTTACTAATCCTACGTAACTGCAAGTTTATACCCTTCGACCTACTTCTACCCATTTCCTCCCTCTCCCTATCCCTGGTAACCACTATTGTACTCTCTGCTTCTCTGAGTTTTACTTTTTCGATACGAGATGTAAGTGAGATGGTGCAGCATTTTTCTCTCAGTCTTTCTATATCTGGTTCATTCCATTTAGCATAATGTCTTTCATGTTCATCTATGTTGTATTCAAAAAAAGAAGAAAATGCTAGCATTCATTGAAAATTTACTATTTAGTTACAACAATTTACAATTTGCATATATATTATTTAATAAACACAATAATCCTTAGCAACAGATAGTATTGTGATTAATAGATTTTACACATGATGTATGTGAGGTTTAAAATTTGAGTGTCTTGCTCAAGGTCATATACTTAACTAGTGATAGAGTCAGGATTTGAAATCAAACATTTTGCTCTTAGGCTGGTGTGTTTAACCAGTATTCTGCTGACAACCAAACACTCAATAAAACTTAGCCATGGTGCTTATCATTATCATTATTACATATGGATGAAAAATGCTATAATTATCCACTAAGACTTATGTTAGTTCTTCAGGAAATATTTCTTCCTTCCCTCTGCTGAGAGATTTTTATGTCTCTAAATTTTCTGTAAATATTATTGAGTTTACTGTTATAAAAAGATAATGAAACTCTTGTTCAAAAAAGGGGGGGAGGAAGGAAATAAAGAGGAAAAAATTAAGATCATAAGGGAAGTGTGATTCTTATATACTATATAAACAGCACTCAGAAAGTTTCCTGATTTTATCTCCTATTATTCAGAAAAAGTTCTTCAAGCTATGAATTCCTAAAGATCTCATGATATAAGATATCCAATATATTAGCCACTTCGTCATGCAGAAGCTTTTTGTACCAATTACATTGTCTTCCCCATTCTCTCTCTGCAATAACACTTTGATGTACTATTCATCATTTCCATTTGCAATAAGTAACTGTATTCCTTCTCAGCTATCCTGCTGCTTCCAGTACAACGTGTCTCAGTAATAAATAAAATGCATGCTTTAAGTGAAAGTATACATTTTTTAAAACCGTAAGTCTTGGCATATTTCCAGAGAGCATGACAGAATATTTATGTTATTGTTTAATGGCAAAACTCACTTCTTTCTAGGAGCAATTTTTGATGAATCTGCCAAAAAAGATGATGAGGTGTTTCGCACAGCAGTTGGCGACCTTAACCAGAATGAGGAGATCTTACAGACTGAGAAAATCACATTTTCAGTGACATTTGTTGATGGCAACAACCCTTTTCAAGCAGTTCAAGAAGGTAAGTTCTATCAGCAGTCCACTATTTATTTTGTTTTGCTTGTTTGGTTGATTTCAAATGAAAATGAAATTATATTAATATTTGTAAAAAGCTATTAAAGATGGGAATCATTTTTGTACTTTTGCTGCTAATTGGGCAGCAAATGCTGTTTGCAAGTGCTGTTTGGTAGATGTTAATCCTGTTTTCTACTTTTTGAAGGGACAGAATGTGGAAGGTCATTGTATTGACTGAAATATAATATGAAAATGGACATAAATATTTACAGTTAAAAACTTTCCAACATTTTTCTAACTTCAGTGTAAATGAGACATTCCTTAAAAATATCACTTTCTATCAGAATTATGATTTTGGACTTCTCTGAGATAACTGCCACCATGAGTGTTGTTACAACTTGCACTGACATTTCAGGTGTACTCATGACAAATGTGTTGCTGCAAGGGAAACCTATAGACACTAAACACAAATCAAAGATTTTGTACTGGAATTGTAACATACTGACCTAGGCTATAAATGTTTTACTCTCTACAAGGTACCAAATATTAATATTAAAGCATTTTCTTCCATTCTCTGTGTTCACTTGAGTAAATTAAAATTTTTCATTGGTACAAAGTAATACATATACAAATTATTTTTATTATACAGGCATGGTCATTCCTATTAATGAAAATTTTGACTGAAAGATCTTAGATGAACAAAATTTTGTGCTTGATGCCATTAATCTTACTTAATTAAATGTTTAGCTGCTTGATCTACTGATTGTTCATGAAACTATTTGTTGCTAATTGCTATGGTCCGAATGTTTGTTCCCTCCTACCTCCCCCCAAAAATGAATATGTCGATACATAATCTTCATTGTGGTGGTATTAAGAGATGGGGCCTTTGGAAGATGGCTAGGTCCTGAGGGCTCTGCCCTCTTTAATGGGATTAGTGCCCATATCAAAGAGGCCCACGGGAGCTTGTCTGCTCTCTCTGCCAAGAAGGCACCATCTACAAAGCAGAAAACAAACCCTCATCAGACATTGAATATGCCGGTGTCTTCATCTTGGATTTCCCAGCCTCCAGAACCGTGAGCTATAAATTTCTGTTATTTACATTTTTTCTAGTCTAAGGTACTTTGTTATAGCAGCCCAAATGGATTAAGATACTTATCTGTTTTATATTTTATTGTGATAATGTATTTAGACTGAAGAAAATGAATGCAAAATTAAAACAAAGCATTTGCTTCATTAAAAATTTAAATAGGATTTAGCAGAAGAAAAGGAAGATATATGTAGCAAAGTTGGCAGGACATTTTTATTAATAAAAGTACAAACATTAAAGTGGTAAGAAAAATAAACATAAGTGTGTGAAAAGCTGTCCTTTTCATTTACTGTTGTGTCTATTTGATATATAGGTAACTTTTACTGAAATATATTTTTGGTCAATAGTATTGGCTACTGTTGAAACTTCATATTTACTTCTGTCAATTAGAGAATTAAAATGATGATTGGTAGTCTAAAGACTAACCTATATTAGCCTTTTAAAGAAATCTCTATCATATTTCTTTCTCAACTCTTAGTTTTAATGACCAGAATGTCAGCAGGAAAAACATGAGGAACTATTTTTTTTGACTGTTTTCTGAGTAACTGCACGTTAATAATTGAAGACTTGCTAAAATGTTTGTGCTTTTAAAAAATTGACTTTGACTGAAAAAGTAATAGGAAATAAAGAAATGAAGATAATACAATGGTTAGAAAGGAATTATAAAGGCAGAAAAAATATAAATACATCCCTCACACCTTTATTAGAGAATACCATTTGAAAAGTGAAGACAATTTTTAAAATGCTAACAGGTTTTTTGTTTGTTTTGCATATTGCTTTGTGTAATTATTTGGCTGCCAGCTAAATTCTGGAAACAAAAAGTATCTTTCAAAAGAACCATAGTGACTTGAAAGAATTTGTGGCACTTCAAATTGAGAGAGGAAATAAGTTTTCCAGATAGAGACCACTGCTCTGTATTTGTCAAGAAAAAAGAAAGAGCTGGACAGTTTGCCTGATGGTTTCTGATGCTAACAGGATGTTCTGGACCAGTTATTTTGATGGTTAGCTCTGGGTAATGAACCTGAAATAAGTTCCAGGAAGCTCTAAAGATAATTTGTTTCCCCATTCAATATCAGGAAGAATTTCGGTTAATTTTAGAAGTAAAAATAATTCTTTTTTTAGAGCTGTTTTTATAAAACAGTTGAAAAATAAGGGAAAACATTCAACTGAAAGAGAACAAGAAATAATTGAAAAGTACTATTTTCTTAAATATTTGGCAGACATAATTTAGGAGAAAACCTCAATTGTGCCATAGAAGATGGCTAATTTTTCTACTATCACATCTTTTCTGCAATATTATTAAAATCTATAATAGAGAGGGTCTTAAATCACCTTATCTGTTTTCTTTTTTTTGACATTCACAGGAGTGACAAAATAATCAATTCTGTAATTATAACTGATTGTTTACAAATTAGCACTCCTAATGAACTTATAAAAAATTCATGGTTTTGACCTGTCTCTCTCTCTTTCTCTCTCTCTCTCTCATTGTTTATTTAAATTTAAAAGTCTGGTTCTTGAACAAATATCAACATCAAGCATATATATATTTGGTAATAATAATGAATGGCAATAGAGATCACTGAAAAGGTAGATAAATAAAATCTAATAGTCTGAAATACTCCATTTATTTTATTGTTACAATTTTCTCCAACCAGCCATATTTAAGAACTGGTTTTTATTTTAGAGATTTAAATTTCTGTTCACCTTATCTTTCTCCTATCAACACTTAATAAGAGAACAGGATTTTATGATCAACAGCCTATTTAAACCATAAACAATAATAAAGAGTATTAGTATTATTGAAATCATACTTTATAGCTTGGGCTACAGTACATTTCTGGATAGCAATTCTTTTGAAGATGAGTTTCTAGACAGATATCTCACTTATAACTTGGGATTAACATTGCACTTTCTAGAGATCTGACTGGATTGGATCATTTTTCATATTATGTTATACATCAGTCTCAGACCTTTCAAGTAAATGAATAGTAAAAACAAAAAAATTCTTTTTTCACAAAATAATCTAGAAATAAGTCACTTATTTTCAGATGGTGCTTTTTTAATTTCTTTTGAGTGTATTTGTTGATAAGTTGTTGTTCATCTTTTGTGTACTTAGCTGTGGAATATTAACCAAGGGCGAAGAATGTTTCAGGAAATTTTTTAGAATTTTTTTTTTCTCTTGGGTAGGCTGTTTTGGTAGCTGGGATGTAACTTTTTCCCTTTAGAAGATACATGAAAGAGGAAAAAAAAATCATATGGCTATTTTTAAAAACCTACGTAATTATAGGGGTGGAAAATTATATAACTCTAGTTGAATATTTTCATTATATAGAGGAAGTAATTAAGACAGAGAGAAGTTAAGTAATTCTCCTAATTTCTCCTAGGGTGACCAAGCAAGTGTTTAGCAGAGAAAGAACTAAACCAAGACTTTTACACCTGCGGTCCCCAACTCAGGGCTGTGGACCAGTACTGGGTGGCCTATTAAGGACTGGGTGCAGAGCTGCCCCCTGCCCCATCCATGGAAAATTTGTCTTCAATGAAACTGGTCCCTGGTGCCAAAAAGGTTGGGGACCACTGCTTTACACCACTGGAATATTGTAATATTTTTTTGGCTACATCTGTTAAATACACACACACACACACACACACACACACACAAATACATGAAATAATACAATATATTACAGAATTTCACTAAGTACGTTATGGCAGGAAAAAAAGGTAGCAGATTCGGAGTATTGATATGCATTTGATGTTTATTATTTATATTTATGGCATGGAATAGTAGGAAAATTTCAATCTAGGTGATAAACACCAGTTGCATTGCATAAGTCATTTTAGTTTTTTTGGCTCTGGTTTTCCCCATGTGTAAAAAATGAAGAAATCAGAATATAAATAATATATTTTTAAGGTCACTTTCATCTCTATGGTTTTAAGACTCTTCAGAACACATTTCTAGATTTAGAACCTTATAGAAATGATCATTATTATTTTCCCTTTAGAGAAGTTTTCACATTGCTGAAATTTCCTCCTGGTTTTTCTGTGACTGACTTTAAAATAAGTTAAAAAGATACACAGTACCTATTCTTCATTCTGCTACTTCATCCAACTACTCACCACAGCCCAAAGAACCCATTATTATCACCAGAATCCAGAAAGGGTCCTGTGCTGGTTTAATAGACCTGGACCAAAGTAGATGTTGGTAGATTTTTCTTTTTATTTCTCTATTATAGATTGTTTCCTCTGTGGCATCTATCTGCTGTATATAACATAGATGCACAAATGTTTGGTGTGAAAGATGCTGCTGTCTCTAGGGAAAGCAGTGGCAATTATTTATATCATTAGCTCTTAGCTGAGACCAACATAATATGGGCCATGAAAGGTGGAAATTTTCAAGAAAACAAAGTCATGAAAAGTAAGGGTAGTGTATTTGTAAAAATGCTTACATTGGAAGATGAATGCAGACATATGAATCCATCTAAGGCATCATGCATTGATATTTAATGGCAAGATTCAGCTAAAACATTTTTAAATAATTGCTTTATTAGACAAGTGCCTAAAAATTAAATACATAGTGAGTATAAGACCAGAATTATACTATGGAGTCACAAATGAGTCTACTTGAAATAAAAAGTATTAACTATAGCAATTATTTTTGTTTCTACTCTTGTTGCAAAACATTATAAACAATACTATTATAGTTAACAACACCCAGTTTATTAAAAATGTCCAGTGCTTTTAAAATATAAAAATTTGAATAATTTTATCAAAGTATGATTCAGAGAAGTAAGCTATTCTCATTAAAGAGTGCAGCATTAATATTCATTATAATTAAGCAAATGTAATGTTAGAAATATGAACACAAAAGTTCTTTTTAATATAAAAAGCAGTCATAATTAAGAGAGCTCATCTTTCAAGAT